AGTAACCCTTTACCGGGGGAGAAGAGAACAACCAATATAAGCTTAAAATATATAACAACTAAGTAAGCTGAAGTCTTTGATTTATGAAACAGCCCCATTAAGCTGAAAATAAGAATGAAAATATTTGGTTGAAAGAAGAAAAGCAGTGGCGAACATATCTTATCAGTCTGCTTCAAAAGCGAAACTAACTCTCCTCCCAGCAGGCTGGTTTCAAAGCCGAGAGAGTGAGACGGAAAAATAAATCTTATGTTTCTGGAAAAGAATCCCAGACGGTAATACCATCGGACAGGATTTAAGAGACTTGTGTTTTGTGAATGCAGTTTGGCTTGGACGTATTTCTCTTTTTCCTTTCCTGGACTCTGTGAACTTTTAACAACAGAATTTGGCGGTTTTCTGGAGAAGAAAGAAGGAGCTGACATGGTCGACTGGACTGAGGAGTATCAATGGGTTAATGGAAAAATCATAAGACGGGCTTCAAGGACAATGACTGGACAGTTTGAGACTCTGTGATTGTTGTTTTGTTTGTCAGACTGCGTGTGAGTCTGATAATAGTTGCTTGCTAAACTCTGGAGAAGAAGAAATAATTGTGCCACGGTTCTATTTGATTTTGAATTTGCTGGGTTAAAAGTTGATTTTTATATTATAATATTTGGATAAAGATTGGAGGGAGATCTAAGGGGAGGTTTATGATTAGGGATTGTTGATAAAATTGTGGAAACTGTTGAATCTAAGGGGTGATCATTGTGGTTAAGGGCATAGTATCATCTATACAAACCCCACTCATTGGAAAGCCTGAGATGTCCTCCAAAAACTTAAGACATCAAATGGAGACTTGGTCCGTTCAATCCCAAAGTTTTGGAATAGTGGTACAAGAAATAGAAAAGGAATGGCAGATTACTATGCAAAAGACAATAAGAACAGAGTTTCAGCAAGTGAATATTAGCAAAATAAAAGATCTGATGAAAGAGGGGACATTTGATACCAAACAGCACTTAACTGAAGTCGTACAAACTTTGGAACCATCCTTATCGGGCATGACACCAGGTAACATAGATGGGATAGAGTGTTATCCAGTGAACTAGGCATTTGACAACCTAAACTAAAATTTTATGATATAGCAACTGGAAATGATGGAAATGGGAGAAAGATTTATTAGGTCAATAAAGACTATTTATACAAAAAAGAAAGCTAAAATCAAAATTAATTGAGACTTTACAAAAGATGTTCAAATACAGAAAGGTCCATTATCCCTACTATTATTTATACTTTCATGGGAAGTCCTTAATGAGCAAATTAGGGCTAACAAAAACATAAGAGGGCTAAAAATGAGGGGAGAAGAATATAAATTACAGGCATTTGCTCATGATATAGTTTTTATTTTGGAAGAACCCAGTAAATCTATTTATGAACTGATGGAAATGATAATAAACTTTGGGGAAATGGTGGGAATGAAGGTGAATTGACAGAAAACAAAAATCTTAGGCAAGAATATCCGAACAGAGGAGATCCACAAATTGACAAACATGATTGGTTTCCGAGAGAAACAAAGAATCAAATATTTGGGAATTCAAAAAACAAATAAAACAAGTACATTTATAAAAGATA